TGACTTTAGATTTTGTAGCCTGGGTTTCCCAGTGGGCAGCCTGCGGTTGCAATAAGGTTCTGCTCAGCGAGTCCTGCCTTGCCAGGACCCTGTCGAGAACATCCTAGCCTGGTTACCCATTAATCCCTGCTTTTGCAGCACTGCCTGCAAGGCTTATGGCAGATCCACAATCATGGCATTCTCCTGGCAGTTCGTGTGGCACATCTCCTGCTAGGTGGTAAAGTAGCCATAGAAACCAGGGCCCCTTACACACAGGCAGCAGAACAGGGGGAATGAATGTTTTGTGAAGGAAGTACTCCATTCTAGTAAGCATTTAAGGAATGAATACAAGTTGAGAAAAAGAGAAATGTCCGCTAGAGAGGTGGAGAGAGACTAAAAGTCCAATCCAGCCTTCAGAATTGTCCCCATTCACATTGCCCTTGAGGAGTAGGAGGGTCAGGTCAGCTGCCCTGCACTGAAGAAAGCTGAGCAGTGGTACATCCCTGGGATTTGATGAAAAGTCTCTTCTTGTTGTTGTTAATTCTTTTATTGTTGTTATTCTGAGATTTCTAAGATGCTAAAAATCATGGCCAGGGTAGTTGAAGATATGACACAGGGTTTTGTTATTGTTGTTGTTTAATTGATTTTCTTTGTTTGCTTCTTTTTTGTTTTTGTTTTTTTCCAACCTGATATTCTGCAAGGGACTTATAAATCTCACATGGAGCTAAGTTTTTTTGTCACAAGAGCTAACTCCCAACTCTAACCAGCTCATGATGTAGCTGTCACATTTGATTCTATAACATGGCACAGAATTTGGTGGTGGGGGCAGGCCAAGGGCTATGCCACAGTAGGGTTGCCACACCAAGCCATCAGTGTTGTCTGAGTTAGACTTAGCTCACTCATTCACCCGGATGTGTGTATGGAGTTATTTGGAGGAGATTCACTACACACAGACCGTCGTTAGTGTTGTCTAAGTTAGGCTTAGCTCACTCATTCACCCGGATGTGTGTATGGAGTTATTTGGAGGAGATTAACTATACACAGAGTGTGGTTAGCAGAAACTAGAATGGCTGTTTTGTACATGTATGTACCAAGCATGTGCTTGGCGTTCCTCCCCAGTACAGCAAGAGCACAGCTTTATCCCAAAATAGAATCCCTAACACTGTGGCTGTACAAGAGGCTCCCTCTACCTGGAGACCGGGCTCCTTTAGAAGACTTCTCTTTCCCCACCTGCACTGTTGGCTTGAGGAGCTTCAGCAGCTGGAGAGTTTGCCTTCCGTTTTCTTGTCTGGCTACAAAGGGGAGGAAGAAATCTGGAGAGCTGTTCCCAGGAAAATAGCAGCAAATGGCATGGGACCCAATCGGATGCATCTCCCTCCTCAGAGGAGCAGGACCTTCAGATGATAGTGACAGCCGTGGCCTTTCCACTTAGTAATTCCTCAAGAACTCGTCTGAATTCTCACCTCTTGATCAAGATAGGAGAGGTGGAGGCTGGCAGACATTGCCACAGATCCTGTTTTTAGCCACCTCTGACAGCCAAGTGCATCCTTGAGCAAAGTGTATTGCTGCTTTTTGTGACCATCGAGAGGTCTCAGCTGCAGGTGCAGGGGGGTCTTACCCAGGAGCAGACAACCAGCATCACCCCTACCAGTCTGAGCCAACCCACAGCACAGTTGGAACTGCCTCCCATTCCACAAGAGGAAACAGAAGAGATGAATGAGAAACCACTGATCGCCACGGGGGAGCCCAGCCCGTGACAGGCACTTTGGGACAGTCACAGCTCTATTACTGCCTCTCATGGTCAACCAGGGATGGGAGGAGGGTGGAGCAGGGGTGGGAAGAGGCAGCCAGGAGCTCATAACCAGCAGTGTTCCCTGTAAATTAAACATCAGTTACCTTCTGTGTCCATTTGCTGTAATTGAAGGCAGGAAAAGTGTCTTGGTGATTAACTAGTGGTAGTAAACTTTCTGTTCAAAGTGAATATCAGAAAGTAGCTAGAGAGATTGCACTTACAAATAAGGATCTGCAACGTGTGTGTGCCCTTGAGGGTGGGAAAGAACTCAAGGTGTTTAGTGTGAGCTAAGTAGAGGGGAAATAGCTAGACTGAGCGCATTTGGAGAACAGAGGTCAGCTGAACTGCTGGGCTTAAGTAAGGAATCCCATAGATGACAGGCTTGTTTGTTTTGTTTGTGAAGCCTTGTTTGGAGAGGGTTGTGCTTAGTTTTGTCTGTCTTTTCTTCCCCTCTCCCCCCGAAACACAAACATACTGGCACATCTCTCTGCCTTTTCTGTGCCTGAAGTTGGAAGAATTAGTCTTTTAACAGTGAACAAGAGTTGCCTGCCTCCACATGGGCAGGGACTGCATCTTAAACAGCTTCTAAAAGCGTTCATCAAGTCTCAACCTTCCCAAAGTGGCACCTCCCTGCTCCCTTGCCTCATGGAACTCTCTTCCCTCATCTGTATCACCTTGTCCCAAATCTAAGACACAGGCAGTTTATGGAAAAGTCAAACATTCTCTCTATTTGAAGCCCATGACAACTCAAGATTAGTTGATATCATTCAAACACAACTGGCAAGTTTTACTATTACCTGGTCCTTGCAAGAACATTTGAGTGTTTGTCAAGGGTGTATCTTCACGATATAAAGTGTGATCCTCCAGCAGGCACCAGGATTCAATACTACCCCATGATGATCACTCTTTATCATGAGTGTGACTGGTTTTAGGGTCACCGTGGAAACACACTGATTGACGTGTCTGACGATGTCTCCAGAAAAGTTTAACTGAAGACAGAAACCCAAGTCCTAAATGTGGGTAGCACCATTCCATGGGCCAGATCCCAGATAAACTAAAAAAGAGAAAAGAAAGGAGGAAAAAGAAAAAGCAAGTACCAATGTTCACCTCTTTCTGCTTCCTGACTGGGGATGCCATGCGACCAGCTGCCCCACTCACTCCTGCCACCATTCCTTCCCTGCCATGATGGACTATGCTCTCAGAATGGGAACCAGAAGAAGCCCTTCCTTCAGTTATTTGTGGCAGGTATTGTGTCACAGAAGAACAATAATCAATGCACCCCACACACACAGTACTTCCCATCAACAAGCTGTTTCATAAAAGGCTACGAAGGTTCCATGACCACAGCCTGCCTCGTTGAAAGGACTTCCAGGACAATGGAAGCCACACTATCCGCAGTCAGCAGCACTTGGATTGAGGCAGGGGATTCCTCTCCACTACATTTCAAGTGGAGCTTATTAGACACGTAGCTGGAGGGACTTGCACGTCACGGAGTAGACTAATTGGCTGCAGCACGCTGCCTCCAACCCATCTCCGTCCTCCAATTAAACTCCCATCATCCTGTTGTCCAGGCGACCTGCCGCTGCCTCTGACTTGGCATCTCTTTGGGGGTTTGGGGTTTGAGTTATTCTGTAACCTTTCCAACGCTAACTCCATGGAACACTTTAAATACTCCACATTCTGGTTGGAGCTCTTTTAATTAAAGCACTTTCCACGGGAGCCTCAGTCGTCACGAGTTACTTCCCCGCATCCTTCAGTGCCTAGTCTCCAAGCAGAATTGGAAATATCGATAGAAAGTGTAAGCCCTGCCCTCCTGCTGAAAGCGTTGTATCAGGTTTCGGCTCAAAAGAGTACCATTACCTTTAGCTGTCACGGATCTGTACACTTGATCGATAAACTTCAAATATTATTAGAGGTGGAGGCTTCAGAGATTTGCTCTGTTCTTTGGAGAGAGACAGAGATAAATCTTTCTTAGAAATTGACTTGAATTTGCACTCTCGGTCTTCCCGGTGAAATGCATTTCTCTTAGGCATCCAGCAACTACAAGGGGGGCAGATTTATAGGCCATGTGCTTCATGTACTGAAAGATTTAAATGGTAAATCCTTCACATATGACTTCACAAATCATGTAAAGTTAAAAGATTTTTACCGTTTCTGTTGCTGCTGTGCTTAAATTGTAAGGTACAGCCAGTAAATCATTTTAATGGAGGTGTCGTACTTGACTCAATAAAAAAAAAGAAGACAATGGTTTAGCTTCCACTCCAAAATGTTAATGTATTAATCAACGGGAGAATAATTGTTTTTTACTATGTTATAAATCTCGGGTGCCATTAGGATTTCAGCAAAGGGTGATGTAGCCACATTCCTAAATTAAAATTGTTTACCCTGCCATACATCCATTCTGCATCACCATAGCTCATTCCGGGTTCGTTCTCAAGTTGTTCCCCAGCCAAAAACTCAAAGAGGGGCGTCCCAAGGGAGCGAGGCTTATAAGAGAAAACTAATTGCATTTCGAAGTTTTAAATAAATAACATCAAACCCGTCTGTGACGATGGACAAGTATTCCTTCCTGTCTTAACGTTTTCTGTCTCTCCATCTCTCTCCCTTTCTCTCTTCATCCCCTCCCCATTTGAATTAGGTTTTCAGATTTTACATCGAGGCTTTCCCCCTCCTCACTCCTTGTAAATGTGGCACGCATGTCATGTCTTTAGTATAAACCTAGTTTTATCTCTACACAGCCTTGCTTTCCCTATGCATGTTCCCCTAGGAGAGTGAGCTGTGGGGCCTGTTGACATCCTCCTCCCCTGCCCCCATTCCCCTGATAGCCTGAAGATACCATCTGTGGTGCCCACAAATAGATAGGTCAGCCTCCTTAATTATTAGTAGCTGTAAGTTCCAGGGTGTGTATAGTGAGTGCTAGGGATAGGTGAGAAGAGACAGGATCCCCAGCCCCCATACACACACACACACACAGAGCTCCCTAGTTCCTTTCACACACAGTAGCACGCCTATGCTGCCTCTAATGAAATTGCCTTGTGGGGAGAACAGATCAATTCAGCACTGGACAGGTCAGTCTGTTCCCTCCATGTAACTTGATCCAGCTGGTTTGTTCTTGCTGACTCCTCCATTAAAAAAGAAGGTGACCTCCTGACCCTGGAGGCAGTGTCCCTGGGGCTCCTGGTGTCTTGTAATAAGTTCTACATCCCTATTCCTCTTCTGGTTTTCACAGACTCTCGAGCAGGTGAAGAGGGCGCCATTGGTGCTGTGGACCACGCAGTGATTGGCGGTGTTGTGGCTGTGGTCGTGTTTGCCATGCTTTGCTTGCTCATCATTCTGGGCCGCTATTTTGCCAGACATAAAGGTAAGCAAGGTGCTTTGGCAGGCTGGAGCAACCTGTCGCCACAGCCCTGGAATTGGGGGACTTCACTGTTGTCATTAGGAGGCAGCTTGGTGTAAAGGATGACGTAGCATATATGATTCCTCAAGCGGGGTTGGGTGGATAGAGAAACCTTAGCAGCTGCAGCTGAGGACTGCATGATAATTTGGATTCCCTATAAACACAAAGCTGTAGGGATCTGTTTTCCCAAGTCTACATTTGGGGTTAGAGTCAAAATAACAAGGTTGGGGCCGGTGTGATGAGTGGCCAGAGCCCTGGAAGACGGTATGCATGGCAAACATACACAACCTGCTCGTTTTCTCCCAGAGACAGGTGAGCCAATTCACTGACCCTGAACTCTGAGTAAGCTGATCCTGAGGGCCAGAGTATTTCCTCCTTGATGTGGTGTGTGCAGGTTTTTAAAAAAAAAAAAAAGAAAGAAAAGAAAAAAATCTTTTGCCTTAAAAGCCACATAAATATGTATTTTTTAAATTATCAGGGCAATTGATTTAAATTGCCATTAATCATCACACTTACCAACTGTGCAGACTGGATGGGCAATCATCTTTGCCAATGCTCTTCCTCTCTGCCTCATGCTGCTCTGAGCCTCTTCTCCCCTCCTGGTAATTTAGTCTTCCTTTTCTTTGTCGGCCCTTGTCTTTCTCAGTTGTTTTTCTCAAGCACTGTGCAATGAGCTTTGGGGGGTTTTGTAGGCGCTTGCATACTGCTTGATTGTGACCTGGGTTTGGGGAAAGTTCCTGGAGCCCAGCAGTGGAGGTCCAGGGTGCTTAACAACAGACTTTAGGATCTGGAAGTGTATGTCTGGAACACAGAGCAGCTGGGGACTCTTGGAGCTGTGTGGCCCAGAACCTCCGCCTTTCAGTGCTTAACTTGGTCGAGCTGGGAAGGTTCAGCCTGGGAGCCAAGGAGAGTGTGCAGAGCATTCATGGGGAATCAGAAGATGGGTACATATGTCTCTGCAAGAGAGAGGGCTCGGGAAGGAAGCGTTTGACCACCTGCTTGCCCAGGTTCTCACTTTAAGATCTGAAAATTCAGTAAAATGTCTCAGGCTTTCTGAAGTATAAGAATCTTTAGAGTCAGAGTATAATGGGAAGAAGCCTATCAGATTTTATCAGACAGTTTGAGTTCTTCCTACCTGCTATTCTGAGGAGAAGTCTTGTCTTCCTTCATGTAAACCCTTGGGATTTGGTGATAGAAATGTCACCAACTTGGTTAATGTTCTGTCTGTTGTCATTATAAAGTGGCTGTGCCAATTAGCAAATCCATGAATCTGGGTCCAGGCTCCAGTCACATGGTGAGAAAGAAACCCTTGTTCCTGAAGACAGAGCCCAAGCCTCAGTTGCAGTCTTTACAGTGTCAAATTTTGTCTCCATCTGGTGCCCTACTCTGAAAGGGAAGGCATAGAGAAACCAACCCTTATACAAGTTCAAGCACAGTCTCACCTGTGGGTAGCCAGTAGCGATTCATGAAGCCAGGAAAACTATGGTTGGAGTAACTGACTCAAGATGACAATAGAAGCGTCATTGGGGCCCTAATTCATTTATTGGCTAATTGCTCTTCCTTGCTTTGGTCTTTAACCATGTGCGAGCATCTCTGGTCATCGGTCTTTGGTGTTTACTGTTTATGCGTTAGTCAGCAGCTCTCCAGCTTTCTGCATTTTAGCCCCACTCACGTCTTCTTCTCTGGTCATACTCCCTGCTCTAATGTCTCGTTTGCTGAATTACATCGCAGCGGCTCAGTTGGAGTGGTACCTTTGGAGCCCCGGATCCCCATCTGTCTCACCCACCTCGCTCTCTTCTTCCAATTGTTTTTTTTTTCTTCCCCTCTGCTGCCTGCACACCACTTCGGCTGATGATGGCCATAAAGCAACTTGCCATCTCTGTACCACTTCACACAGAGGCCATCAGAGAGTCACAGTGCTTTACCCCTTCATCTTTCAGGTACATACTTCACTCATGAAGCCAAAGGAGCCGATGACGCAGCAGACGCAGACACAGCTATAATCAATGCAGAAGGAGGACAGAACAACTCCGAAGAAAAGAAAGAGTACTTCATCTAGATCAGCCTTTTTGTTCCAATGAGGTGTCCAACTGGCCCTGTTTAGATGATAAAGAGACAGTGATACTGGAACTTGCGAGACGCTCGTGTGTTTTTTATGAGTGGGTGGAAAGATGCGAGACTGGGAAGGCTTGGGATTTGCTATGTAAAAACAAAAAGAAAAAAATGTTCTTTGAAAAGTACGCTCTGCTGTTTGACACCTCTTTTTATTTGATTTTAATTTGGTCTGGGTTTTGGTGATTTTTTTTTTTTTTAATTTTTCTTTCTTCCTACCAAGTCAAACTTGGGTTTCGGTAGATTGCAGAAAATTCTGTGCCTTGTTTTTTCATTTTTTTGTGTGTGTTTCCCCTTCTCCTTTTTATGCATTTGTTTTTCCCAAAATCAATTTTTTTCCCTCCCTAAACCTCCCGTTTTTTGGAATTGACCTGCTGGGATTCCTAAGACTTTCCCCCCATTGTTGCCGTTTTCTGCCTTCTTTTGTTTTTGTGTTGCCGGTGACCGCTTTCTGTTCCAAATTCAGTTGCATAAAAGGAAAACCAGCACAGTTTAGATTTCATAGTTCAGAATTTAGTGTTTCCATGATGCATTCTTCTCTGTTGTCGTAAAGACTTGGGTGAAAAAAAAAAAAAAGAAAAAAAGAAAAAAACAATGAAAACTCTTTGCTGCTGCCCATGTTTCAATACTTAGAGCAGCAAAGACTAGAAAAGTAGACTGTGACTCAGAAACTGTGGTTTGCTGTGGATCTCTTCATTACTGTACAGGGTTACCTGCAAGTGAGGTGTGTCACAATGAGATTGACTCTGTCTTTACTGTATCTGTAGGCGGCTCAGTATAGATTGCCCCACGCTGTGCAGAAAGGTTTGGGGTGGAAAGTCTCCTCCTTCCTCATTGCCCTAAACAGACCCGACAGGTGAGGTCTGTCCATTTGATGTCAGTGGACAAATTTGAGTTGCCGCAGGAGGGGAAGCAGAGAGGGGGTAAGGCAGTCAGTCCTGCTCTGCTTGTTTCTATTCCAAACAACTCCATCCACCTTTCCCAATTGGCCTTACTGCTCACTGATGTGCAGGAGAGAGCAAGTCCGTGTGCTGTGTGAATGAATGAAGGGGGCAGGTTTTTGTTGGAGTTTTGTTTTTTGTTTTTTGGTTTTTTTTTTTTTGCTTTTGTTTTTATTTTTCCTTTCCTTTGTGCTTACTTAGGAGGGCAGTAGGATGTGGCCTGCATGTACTGTATATTACAGACGCTGTCCTGCTGGGACGCTGTCCTGCTGGGATTTCCAACTCCAATCCCTAAGCAGCTCTCATTCCTTCAGATTTGGCTTGACAAAGGCAGGAGGTACAAAAGAAGGGCCGGTATTGTTCTCGAAAGGTCAGAGCCGAGGTGGAAAAGCAGCATGTAGAGAATTTCAGTTACTTAATCAAAACTCAGATGTGAGTGTTTTTATCTTTCTACCTTTCATACACTAGCCTTGGCCTCTTTCCTCAGCCTTAAGAACCATCTGCCAAAAATTCCTCATCTCGCATGATGGCAGCCATAGCGCATAGCTACTGAAATAAGTTACTTTGAACATATCTAGACTGGAGCCTAGAGGACCGTAGAGGATACGTTACCATTTGCAGTCTTTAAAGCTAAGTCGGGGTTTGTCACTGAAGTGTTGAGGAAATCCAGAAGTAGTTCTGAAGGACGAAAACCTAATCTCTTTTTCTACATGTTGGTAGGCTCCAGACTCCAAATAACAGTCCCTATGGAAAGGTGGCATCAGAAAAGATAGAGCTATCTATATATATAGATATATAAATATATATTATATAACATTTTCAGTCAGTACTTTTGGATTTTGCAAGGTGCATTTTTACTATTGTTACATTATGTGGAAAACTTACGCTGATTTATTTAAGGGGAAAAGTGTCGACTCTGTTATTTGAAAACGTATTTCTTTTTCTTGTCTTTATTTTCACTTCTGATAGAACCATTGCAATATGGGGGCCTTTTGGGAATGGACTGGTATGTAAAGGAAAATTCATTATCGAGCAGTGTTTTGTTGACCCCTCTCCTGTCCCTAGGCACTTAACCAAGACAAAAAGCCACAAGGAACATCCCTTTTTCAAGAATTTTATAATGTGCATCTATTCCGAGCCCTTAGCACCCATCCTGAACATAGTGTGACCATATCAAAGGGTGAGAAACAGTTAGCATGTCGTTGAAAGGGTTTTTCAGCTGTTCTTTTTAGAAAAAAAAATATATATAAAAAAATACAAAAAAAATAAAAAAGCAAACAAACAAACCTACCATTGTTCACAGAATCGGCATCTCATTTCCGGGACCGCCCATCTTTCTGTTTTTGACAAGTGTACAGTAGTGCAGTGTTCTGATGTAACTTTATGGCTTACAATGTTGACATGTCTCAGGTTCCTGTGTTTCGATTGGTGTTTTTCCGTCTCAGGTAGATTGCAAAGTGTAGGCCCCACCCATTGGAAAAATAATAATAATTATAATTATAATAAAACAAAGCAAAAACAGGAAATTACGGACTTTAGTTGTATATTGGTTTATGTATTTTTCTTAAGTATACAGTGCGCTGTTTGAAATGTATTGTTGAGTATTACTTTGTACAGGTTGATCACTTTTTTTAGAGTGAAGAAAGAACAAACTTGTTTTTTTGTGTTTTTTTAAAGGAATATAAAATAATGAAGGATGTGTATTTGATGCCAAATAAGCTTGTTCTTTAGTCACGAGGACGTCCTGTTTTTCCCTCTAGGCCAGTTCTGTTCCTAAGGTGTACAAGGACCATGTTACAGTGTAAGAAACTCCACATCCGTGTGTTCCCATTCGCATTTTGTATCGGTTCATGTATACCATTTTTACAAAAAGAAAAAAGAAAAAAAAAGAAGTACTATAAAATATCTGTCTTCTTAATAAAAAAAATTAATGTCACAAGTGATCCTTTAAATCTCTTTCTGGATTTTTACAATACCCGGCCTCTGGTCCCAGCTTCCTCTCCTAGGACCTTGGATGGAGACCCAGAACACTGGCAGGAGGTTGCTGGGAAGTGGCTGCCAGCTGGGTTTCCGTCCCTCTCGTCTGCGCGTCCTTGTCCTGTCCTCTTCTACCCTCGCAGTAGACAGAGTCCGGTGATTGGCTGAACGGAGTCACCTCCGGTGGGCACGGTGGTTTGTGCAGGTGTGCGAGCAGCTGCCGGGGATGGCCCTCCTGCGGATGTGTCCACTACCACCCTCCTCCACTTCACCTACCACCCACCCACTTTCCTGTGTTGCCTGCTACACCTGTCTCTTTCCTTGGGGTTCCATGTCTTAACAGTTCCTACCGTCTTCTTCCTTTTTTTCTTTCCTTGGGGTTCTGTGTCTTAACAATTCCTACTGCCTTCTTCCTCTTAAAATTCTCTCTCCCTTCACAAAAGCGAAGAGCTGAGCTGCCGAGGGCTGACAACTCGGCTGCCTGCGGATTGTTCTCACCATTTAGGTTTTGAAGACCTCCGGGCCCAGGTGGACTGTGAGATTTGGCAGCATGGTCTCAGTGTCCTTGCCTTGCAGGCGAAGTTAGCAAGGACTGCTCTTGTAATCCATGAGCAGGAATCTGACTGCCCCCAAAGTGCCCTCTCACCTTTACCAGCTCTCCTTGGGTTCCCCCTCTGTCTCAGTGAGGTAACCAGGAAGGGTTGGCAGGGAGAGACAAGGTAAGCTCCAGAAGAGTCAGAGGCTGGGCATCTCGCTTTGGGTTCTTACATCACCTTCTGGTCTCTGGTCTGTCTCTGAACAAAACAGCACCAACAGATGTAGTTACTGAGTGTCTGGCACATGGACATCGTGGAGGACACAGACAAGCGGAGGTGATCACTAGAGGCTAAGGTGCCAGGTACACCAGTGAGTGCCACCCCACCCAATGGAATGATGGCAGAAGCAGTGGGGACTTCTTGGGGGAGGGAAATGAACAAAAGCTGGCAAGTCAGCTCAATGGAAGAGAGAGCTGGGAAGGACGGTAGAGACGCAAACTGAGTTGGATGCGGGAGACAGGCAGCTGAGGAGTCAGGTGCTCTGTGGATGGGATCTCTCTGGTGGCTGCCCTCATAGTCTAGGCAGACGCTTTGGGCGTTCACTGGCCTCTCCCAACTTCTGCCAAAAGACAAGAACGACAGGGAGCCAAAAGGCAAGAACAAGTGGAAAGATGATCTATCGTATCTATAGGACCCACCCACAAGGGTACTTTAGGACCGCACTCAAGATCAAGGGCTAGGGCAGACCAGCCTTGGATTTAACTAACTGCACCATCTTTACTAGGTGTGAAGCTTCAGGAATGTTGCCCAGTGCACCCTGATCTTTGTCTTTTGTTGAGTAAGGAAGAGTTGTTACAACCTCCAGAACCATTAGGGGAAAGAGAAAGGATACACACCTTTGGACTGCGGGTATAAATAGCTCAGTGGTAAAGCATGCAGTGGGCCTTGAGTTCAGTCTTCAACATCACCAAAAAGATAAGAAATTGGTGCTTAGGCAATAAGGTTGCAGACAGGAAGTAAGCACTCATTACATGTTCATTAGACTAAATGTTGATTTAGAAGATAAGGCTGTCCATGACTAAAAGAGCTGGCTACACCTCAGGCAAAATTGTCTGTGTGGACTCAGCCCTTGGGAGTTTTTCCATAGGATTTTGAAGGATTTTCTCATCATGATTCTTCAGTGTACTTAGTAGTAGTTATCCTGAGCCACATGGCATGCTGTATGTGCAATGTCCTCACCCATCGCCTTGCCTATAGCAGGAGGCTCCAGATCTCCCTGGTGGTCAGTGATCTGAGGCCGACGCACGGTGGCGGCTTGGCTATTGAAGCGCAGTAGGGCATGCCAATGAGATGCTGCCAGGAGTAGCTGAGATCGTGTGCACTTGTTAAGTTTCCCGTGTGGCTCTTGGTAAAAGCACAGAAACTGTCCGTACTCCCTCCAGAGCATTGTCAAAAATGTTTGGCCTGGTTGCGTTCTCCACATACATCATCCGGAAGCCGGAGGTGATGCCCAGGTGTTAATTGGTGCAATCTTTCACTGTCCCCTGTCTAGGTGAAATGTAACTCTTATACGGTGGACTCGCTCTGTGGAGAGCAGCCTCTTTGAGTCTGTCATCCAGAGCCTGAAAGCGATTGTGCAGCCACATGACTAGCAGAAAGAGCCTCTTTACTTGT